TGTATAATTAAAATTAATTAATATTTTTTTACTAATATTAATTAATAATAGTAATAATTAATTTCTATTTTTATTTATATATAATTAACATTAATGAAAGTTATAATTAGAAAAAACGAAAAAACACTCTTCATAAGCTATTCACAGCAGCTTTTCAAAAAATAAATGCTATTTTTATAGCTTTTCTGAGACAAATTTATAAAACTGAAAATCATAAGAATTGTTCAATGTTGGTGTATTTGTCATTAGCCACCACATTTATATTGGTTGCATCGATTAGACAAACCCTCCTCTAAGACGAACAAATTTGTTTAATGTTGTGAATTATAGAATTATTAGTTTTGGAATCACAACAATAAACTGAGTTTTTGATGTTGAAAATTTATAAACGGTTTATAAGACTTGATTTATAAGACCATAAAAATAAAGTGTCTTATCTAAAGGTGTTGTAATAAGTTTATAAAACATTTTTGGACGTCGTTACAAGTTTTTTGGACATTTTTATATAAATGTATTGTAGTAGCTAATTTATATGACACAATTTGAAAACATGTTATAAAATCAGAGTTCTATTAAAAGATAAGTTCATATAACACTGTCTCGAAAAGTGTCCTATATAATAGCTAATGCGATGCTTTGTATTAAAAGTTTTACAAAAAACTTGTTAAGTCATACAAAAGTGTCTTATAAACTTATTACAACTCATTTAGATGAGACGTTTTATTTTTTAGTTATATAAAAGTAAGTCTTATAAAGCAATCTATTAAGATGTTTAAAAGTTGGTGAGGTCTTATAAATCTAATTTTGTTGTAATGATTATTTGGGAGTTCACAACTTGTGCTTAATGAACTCAAATTAAACCTTCAAGGCATGCTAAAAAGAAAGAGACACAAAGAAACTCCAATCAAAGAAATTTCCACCAGAAAAATCCGTCGGTGATACTTTTTTTTTAAATAGTGTATCTTGCACCTTATGTAAACAACCAAGTCCATACTATAATAAACTTGGATTTACAGTACATCATCATTTTTTAAGCATCCTAATAGATTTTTGTTTTATAAGACATAATTTATAAGATCAAAAAATAAAGTTTTATATCTAAAGGCGTTGTAATAAGTTAATAGGACGTTTTTGTATATCTTAACAAGTTTTTTAGAACATTTTTAATACAAAACACATTAGCTATTTTATGGGAACACTTGTTTTTTTTAAGACGCTTTTTCAAATAATATCCTATAAAATAGTTAATATGATTTTTTTTATTAAAATGTTTTAAAAATTTTGTTAAAACGCTAAAAATTTCCTATAAACTTATTACAGGCCAATTTATTTTTTGGTTATATAAGTTAACTTTTATAAAGTAATCTATTAGAACGCTTATAAATTTTGGCATCATATAAACTCAATTTTTTTGTACTCCTAGCTAGTTGATTCTCTATTTCACTTACACAAATAAGTTGTGTATTTGTCAAGTCCTTATTACATAAATGTTTTTGAGAGTTCATTTACGAAAATAAGTCGTGAAAAGGATTAATGTGTTTTAGGACGGACTTCCGACTATATAATTTTGTTTTAAGTTACAGGCGTCCAAATTTCAAATGTCAGTTCTTATTATACGTAAACCAATATTTTTAATGTTTCGAACTTTTGGCCTTAAAACTTTGGACTTCTGGATGCCAACCGGCATATATTTAACTTTGGATGCTAAAGATAATTGAACTTCTCCTTTGAAGATTGAACACATATAGACTCCCAAAATGTACAAATTAAGCCATATATATTTTTGTGGGAGAGAAGAGAGAGAGAGCGCCAATGTTTTGTGGAAACTAAATATTTGGCAATTTAAACTCTCTGATCATTTATGAAGACGACGATGATAATAACTTCAGCATAATTGTATGTTTCAACTAAGAGAAAATGGAATAGCGAATGGGATATAGATGTCGTCACTACACATATATCAAACCAAACTAATCATGTTTTACATGGGTCTTATCACTAATATACTAACCTAAATGAGTGTAATCGAAAAAAGTGGCAAAAATCTCATAAGCTACTTTCATCTAGTTTTTCAATAAGCTAGCTTAATTATAAGTTAGCTTATGTTTATCCAAATATGTACTTCAAAAATAAGATGGTTTATAAACTAGTTTAAGTTTACCAAACAATGTGTTAGAGAATACAAGCTGCGACCCCTTGACTTCCTCTTATGCAACTTGAACCACCATTCTTTAAATTATCTTATAATACCATAATATAATGCATATTTGCACAATTTCTTTCCATATTAAACGTGCAACATACACAAAATGTAATAAGCACCAATAATATAAGCAATTATGTTGCCAAAAGTCTAACGCCCAAGTCAAGATGGTGAAAATAACTATATATTTTTAACATATTGTTTGACAAAAATAAGCTAGCTTAATTCTTAGACACACGTTTGGATATATATAAGCTTATAAGGTTACTTATTAAAACGCTGCTTGGAGTAACGTTTTGGTAGCTTGTTGTCAATTTTTTTCAATTATAACACTCATTATTATTAATTATAAATAAATATATAAAATTTAAATATTGCTAATATTGATTGAAAATTAATATAAATTAATAATTAATTATACATTGTATATTAATATTATTCATTAATTA